ACGCTCTGCATCAAAAGTGTGGCAGCTGGCTCCCAGATGCAAACAGTGCTGTACATGGGGGGTACACATGCGGGGTTGCACCCCAAAGTAGTGTCCATCTCCCCCACTCTGGGAAACTTGATGTTACCCAACTTCCAAAATGGAATCGTTTTATCTAAAAAGTATACAGTACTCCCACATTGGCAAAATTATACAGGGCATACATATTCTGTCACTATTAAAAATATTTTTGGAATAAAACATCCTGAAAAATAATCCCCCCTGATTTATTTATTTTTTTTGTAATATTCTTTTTTCTAAAATAATGTTTTCTAATATACTGGAGTGCGGTTTTATTATTGCACTCTGACTCAACTCATAGTATATCCCGACTTGTACTTCAGATCGTGTTTCCGTCATGTATCCGGTAATATAAAACGTGATTTCATTGTGGGCCTAATCTCTCCTTCCTACTGATTGCTCCTCCGTTCAAAGAGCCTCTTGAGAATATCGTCGGAGAACGTCAACTGATCGTAGGATTTACGACCAGTCATTGCTGCCTGATGAGAAGCACATGTGATGACCTTCCAGGCCACCATACAAAGAAAAAGAGGAGAGCCACCAACATAAAACACCACATGGAAGAATGTAATCATAACATTGTTTCAGTCATTTGCCCGTCTTGTACGACATCTGCCTTGGTGGCCCCGGCCTGACACTTTATCTTTGTTTATCCTTTTCATTTGTCAGCCCGCTCATAACTTTTTCCATCTGCTGAGACTGCAGTCAAAATTCTTGTTTCGTTTTTTTTGAGAAAAAAAAATGTCAATATAGAATGGCAACAAGTATTGCGTCAAGGGAATTTTTGTTGTTGTTTCTCCAGAAATAAACAAATTTAAAAGTCCATGTTCTAATATGTGCAACATGATCTTGCCCAAAATCACCAAGATTCTTGCTCGGACATTAAATCATGGTCGACGTTTATTCGTGGTCGCAACAGACACTGACTGGTTGTCTGATCTCTCCCCGGAGCCTCCAAATACAGTAAAACTGCACAATTTAAAATGATGGATGGATCATCTCGGCAAAAGAGAAGTCACTCACTAACACAGATTTCGAGTGGTGAAGAACATTTGAGAAAAACGAAGAGAGTTTAGCTTGTGAAAAATGGGTACACAAAAGTGTAGGGTTTCTAATTTTGTTCGGTATATATCGCTTCACATGCTTGGACTTTCAACAGTGATCCCAGGAATTAAGATTGATGACGAGTAGACCATGAAAAGGATTTTACAAATCATCTGCCATTTCACATTCACGACTGTGCTTCTATCTCCTATATGATACTCAAAACGAATCGCATCTTTGCTTGGGAACAATAATCCTCATTCACTCTCGTTCTAAACACAGGGATACCACAGGGATGCGTCCTCAGCCCCCTCCTCAAACATGATCAATGTCTCATTCGCACCTGCAGCACCATCACCACCCTTGTCGGACTGATCAGGGACAACGATGAGACAGCCTACATGGAGGCGGTCCAACTCGCAGGCTAATGGTGTGAATTTACCTCCCAAGCCAAGACAAAGACGATCACAGACGAGGGCTGAGCCAGGCAGCCCAAACTTGATCCATCAACATTTCCCATCAGGTGGGGAAAGCACGTCAAAGACGATCTTGCTTAGGAAACGACGGCAAGCCCAGCTCCCCCCAACACCTACTGAGGAACACCTTAAGATACACTGACGGAGAGCCTCCTAACGGAGATATTTACACTGGCGGACTCCTGTGGAAAGCCAGTGGAATTATTAAGGACCACTCCCACCTTGCAAGGTCACTCACTATTCCTTCTGGAAGACGGAACAGGATATTAACCCTTTGATGCACCCTGTAACCTAATATGATAAGCTGTCCACTTTAGTGACCACTGCCCTTCATTAAAGTCTTGAACCAGAAGACTCAAAAACTTACCATTAAGCTGTGAAATGTGAAAGCTGATGACTAACTCCCCCACCCCCCTTTTACACATAATTGCAATTTCCCAAACAGATGAATTAAAAATGAATAGGATTTTTGATCAGACATTGATCCCGAGCCTTGTTTTGGATACGAAACCAAAAATCAAGAGCGCAACGTAATGGAAAATTTCCAGAATAGGCTGCTGCATATAATCAGAAAATAATTCCTCAGTGGGGCTCGCTCGCCAGAGTTATTCCAAATATACGGTGTGTTTGTCATCATGACACGGCTCCATATTTAGCCGTGTGTGACAGCAACGGAGTTCGTCAACAATAGCTTGAGTTTGGCACTCCGCCTGTCGCCACGATGCAACTTCTCCTTTTCCTTGTGAGGAAATCCACTCCAAAGACAACTCATGGGCGTTTCCACACCATTTAGGATGGTAATATTTGCCATCCTGCCAGAACTGTCACGAGTGGATTATCATGGCGTCCTTATGAATGGTGTTCACTCGGAAGGGCTCGTGTCAGAGATGTGAACATAAAGAGATCATACGCGCTGCGTCAAAGGTAAAACATCTGTCTTGTAACCGGACAAATCCGAAAGGAGAAAGAGAAACTTCAGGAATACAACACTTGTCAAGGACATAGATTTCATTTTGGGATGGAGTGATATTTGACCCGAGCTTTCCGCAATACAATCTGTCATGGAACCGATTATTTTTTGTTTGTCTTGAGCTAGGGTCGCGACAGTGGCAGCGACTTTAACAACAAGCAGCATTTTGCCAGGTTTCAAAGAAATCCTTCAGGAAACTAGGCCATGCAAACTAACTCTCAGTTGAAGTTTACTGTAAAACAAACTAAAACAAAGACTTTGACCTTTTGTCTTCAACCAAGCCACGTTAACTTGGTCTTCCAAAAGTCTGCTAGCTGAATGCTAACAATGTAGATGCGCTGACAAAATTCGTATCAATGTTGTGGTGATTCTAAACTTTTACTTGTATTTAAACAAAATCAGTGTGAAAACAAGTGGACAAAGCATACAAAAATACTTACAGGCATATATTCTTTATCCTCGGTCAAAATATACTGCATATCCATGCAGTTTAGTCATGACAGATTTCTTCTGTGTTTCATCACCGAATCTGCGTATAGTATGTCTATAGGTGTCATTGTGGCACACACCAGGAGCAGCACAATGCCCATCGAATTCTTACCATGCACAAACTGTTTTATTTATTACGACTGAATGTTTAATACAGTACAATACTCGACAGTGCTTGTTCTTATCATCTTTTGCGTAGCCGTTTTTTTGGGTGGTGCCTGGAACAGATGAGGGGCTATCCTTTTTTTCCTTTTAATGGGAGGATTTGAGTGATATGACTGACAAAAACGATCAGGGAACGATTTAACTTCATAAGTCGAGGCGCCGACGTATTGTGACTATTATTTCAGCGCAGCTCTAATCGTCATTCCTAGCGATTGCTCCTCCATATGAGCCTCTTGAGAATAATGGTGGTACTAAAGTTGGGTGGATAGTTGGATTTATGACCACTAAACATAAAAAAATGAGGGTCTGTCTGACGGCGGACCTCAGCAGCAGCACCTGCAGGAGTCCACGGCTGAGACGAGAGGTAACAGTAGCTGTCAGTGTGACAGATGGGCGCAAGCTGAGCCCAGATTTGGTTTTTATTACAACCATTGACTGCGTGTGCTCTCTTCCCATGAACTGAAGCGGGTCTTCAAGATCTGAACCCTCGGGGGGGCCGGGGCAAATCCAGTTGCGGGGCCCTAAAAAGTGTAAATTTGAGAAAAATCCCCTTTTATCGGTTTCTAACCTTATGGAAGTCCATTAAGTCCTTGTTGAGGACTATTAAATAACACGTGAATCATGGCAATGCTTTCACTGTAATTGACAAGAACATGAATCAACATTTATTACAGTTTACCATTGGACTGCTTTAATGCATCGAAAAGCGCCACGCGTGTCACTCCCCCGCTGCTTCTCAGCAAGTCTGCACATGCGCAGTAATATGGACGAGTCCATTCCATGAGGAGGTTTGAGAGCATTCTGACTGATCTTTCAAGACCCACTGATTATTGTGTTCCGTTATAATAAGCACTGAAGCTACAAACAGAAAGAATAGACTGTTTTTGTTTCAACGCAAAAAAAAAGTTTCTAGCTTTGTCGGTGCTTTAATAATCAGCAGTAGAACATAGGTTGATTTCACCAAAAGCATCGGTTTCTGACTAGGAAGCAGAGAAAACAAGATTTTTGTGAAAAAAAAAAAACAAACTAGTGAAGCAGATGTCTAAAATGTGTTGATTGGTGACTATAAAAGAACAAAAACAAGACTGAGAAAGGGCTTTTGACAGCAAACTCTTAACTGACAAATATACAATAACATAAATGCAGCATGACCAAAAACGAAATACAAAAAATATTTTTCAAAAAAATGTAGAAAAAAAGAATAAGTAAATCCGCAGGTGCTGTAACCGCGAGTATGGCTTCACCGTTTTTGAGATTTGTATATTATTGGAGAATATAAAAACAGCGAGTTGTATTATCTTTCATTTTTAAATGTCATCAAATGTTTTATATTTTGTCCCCTTGCTTTACCAAATGTGAGCTGTACATTGCTACGTCGGGCGCAAACCGTCCATCTCCAAAGCCACCATTTTTCAGCAACAACAAAAAATAAAAACGGTCTGTATCCATTTTTCAACAGATTAGAATGGTCAATAATCTGTCTGCGTAAAT